TGTAAAAGGAAATATTTATCCGCTATCACTTTAATCTTATTTTTAAAAATAGTCATAATGTAATACCCTTAATTAATAGAAGACAAAGAGGTAATCTGCGATTTTAGAATAGTTGATGTTTTTTTGTGAACGTGACTGATAGAACATTATAGACAGCATGGCTTTTGAGCGGCACTGGTGGTATAGGGGAGTTAACTCGAATCAAGTCGTTGTTTGTATATCATATCTACCACAAAAGCTTTTTAAACTTTACTTATATCTATATTTTATTCAGAAGGGGAATTACGATTCCTTCTTTGTAGGTTTTTCTCACATCATTTATGAAAAGGACATTGTTTCTGTTGCACTTAGCTAGCGGTGACATCAAAAAGTTCACTGTATATTATTCTGTCATTGGCAGTTGTAATAAGGATATACGTAACATATTTTCAAAGGTAATTACCCCTTAAAACCAAAAGTAAGCTGCATCAATTTTTCAATAGTTTTCTTTTATTAAAAAAGGACAAGTGATAATGATATGACCATTTACTTTAAGAATCCTGTAAACTTTAATGAGAAAACATTGGAGTCGGTCTAGAAAAGACAGGTCAACAGAATGCTTGCTCGCTACACATTTTAATCAATAGGTAAGAAACGTAAAGGCATCAGAACTCAAAATGAGGAAAGAACCTACAAAAAGAAGTTGGAAACACAGGGAACCACTCAACGCACCTCGGCTTCAGAGGGATGGGGGACAGATTTGTTAATACAAAGGTTTGGTATCTCTAATCAGAATGATTAAGACAGAGGATTGGTATCTCCAAACAGAGTGGTTCAGACAGATGATTAAATATGTATTGATAGATATTACTTTTAAGATTGTTATTAATTAATCAAGTCGTTTTCATGAACAAAAAAACACTCGTTTGGTAAATGTAAGGCATACCAATAAATACTAAGTGTAGGAAAGTATAATTTCTAAAATGTTATTCTACCTTATTCTTTACACCAATTACATCAAGTTATATATATATTGTATAGTTGCAAATTTTCACGAGGGTTTTAATTTCGAGAAATCCGCGAATGCCTTAAAACTCTTGAAATTAAACCTCTCGTGAATATGAGATCGTCGCCATACTTACCGGTTTTAACAGCCACGTCTCACACGTCCTTCATATCAGTTGATCTGAGGCTCCTAGGTTAAAACATAGTTTTTAAAAACAATTACACTATTTTAAAGAGTAAACAGGTGAAATGAAATTAAAAAACAACATCAGTCTTACACAATAGATAAATTCATCAGACTAATTATATTGTGGGTCACAACGAAATCATGCAACGAAACCATGCATGCATGCTTTAAGCCCCGTAGGCACTTAAAAGCATGCTTACACATAAATGTATAAACTTGTGACCAGTAGCGATGCCGGGTTGTCTGTGGCTAGTAGTAACAAGCACTGGAAACTATTTGCGAGTCGTTCCCACTTGAATAAGTGCCGGATACAAAATCGCGAAATTTTAACTCGACGAAATTAAACAAGTATACAGTAGTTTGATATATGATTCTATTTATATATTGTTTTGAATATATTTACTTACAAGGGCCGGCACCAATCATTTGGACAGTGGGAAGGGAGAGGGTGACCCCTTTCCCTACCTCACATTTGGTGCTGTCTGTTCCATGACGGAAGTGGAGTGTGTGCACGGGGAACACCATGCAGGTATGATTACTGTATAGGGTCACTGAAATTGTTTATGAAACTTCATCATTTTAAACGATGTACAATTACCCAATAAAGATTCTCAGAATGTGGCACCAGAACGGTTGTCATACCTCAGCGTAACTACAATACATGTATGCCTGTCGTCCGATTATTTTCTAAAACTACAATTGCCCATTGAAGATTCTCAGAATGTTGGACTATGACGGCTGCCATATGCTTGTCGCTGGAATAGTTTAAGGATGGTTGCCATACATCAGCGTAACAACTCGAACACATGCATACCTATCGCTAGAGTAGGAGGGATTAACTAGCATATGTGTACGTATGATTGGATTGATGTCTCATGTGGACCCCTGAATTTACCTGACTTATTGACTCGTAAATCAGAGAGATATCTATCAAACTTGTAACAAAAGTATGACAGTTTTCTGATCGCTAAAATTAGAATGATGCATACACGTTGTCACTACTTACTAGTTGAAGAACATGTGATTGAAACATTCTTAGTATTTATAATAAACCGAAAATAAATATCGTATGAAAAGAAAACTTGATAAACAATGTTTTTAACACGCGTGGCTAATAACAAAAAAGCGAATGACTCTTGTTTAGGGGTACATTATATTACTCAAGGACAAAGTAGTGGATAACCGGTACTTCGGAATCCCAACCTATTATGAAGAAAGAATGACATTTGCGAGACAGAGCAACTGGAGCCTAATTCTATCAACACTTTGTTTTTACACACACATTTTAAAGGCCAAAACTCCTGTTTATTATAATTGTGTAAAGATTACCAAAGTTCGATCCCATAACGATAAACATCTTTGAAACACTACTAATTAAAAGTCAGAGTGAAAACTTATAGTTTTGTAAAAATGCTCGTAACATACGCGTATTTATCAGGGGTACCCACGCTTTTCTGAATAAAAAAAATTGTTGTTCGTTACTCTAAACGGTAGAGGCACCTACATGCATTGCTTGTTTCAGCACTCGAGCTATCAAAGGGAATAATAACTCGGGCTGTTTTCTTGTTTATATAGTGAAAAAAATACACATATTATGAATAACATTTTCATTTGAATTAAGACTTTTAAATTCATTATAACTTATATATGGGGTTTTTTTTATTTAAAGGGACGAGCACGTTGATACATGTATGCATGGTTACACCCATGAGCGTTAATTTATGAGTTACATTTTTTCAATGTTGGCTATATATATTGTTATTCTCATGTCTCTAACTGCATATCTATTTTTGGTAACACCATCTTTGTTGTTCTTTAAATATTGACGTTAAAGTGCATTGTTAGTTTTGGCGTTCTTTTTTGGTACGTTGTATTGTGACGGTATTATGAATCGTGACATCATCATTTTTCTGTGTTGTTTTGTTGTCCTGTTAACACGCATAAACAATATCCCTGATGAACCTCTAAAACGGTGAAATTACTGGAGGAGTACTAAAAAAACCTTTTGTCATTTCATATATATATATATATATATTATCTTTTTTCAATTTCTATTAAATATCATGGTAGACACATTTAATTAGTGTGATTGAGTGACAGTGTAAGTTTTGTTGTATGTTTTCTAAAATGCTACATTTCATTATATGCTATTTGAACAATTGTGTTTTACCATTATGGTCGTTTTCAAAGTTTGGATGTCTATATCTGGTACTTGCACATTACAGGTATTGTTTCGCAAAGTTGGCAAACAGTTGACATAAAATATAATAATGATTTTTTTTACGAAACAAAGTATCAAAATCTTTTGTTATAGTGATCTTGCTTCAACTTGCTGACAAAATAGAATGTAAATCAGATCAATTTGAATTTTGCTTGAATATTTTTCAGGTTTTATAAACCAAAATAAAATATACTTGGAAAACAATTGAATGCTTTTTTGGAGTGTGTTGGTATCCCACATATCTTTGTGAACGAAATCAAAGTTGTAAAAGGGTTCATTTACATTTATTTAATCCTTAAAACTGCTGTTGCTGCTATACATGTATCTATCTCAAACTTTAGGTGGCTGTTTCAGTTTTTCGATGTTTTCTTTTACCTCTTATTTTAAAGTTCGAGCGGCCTTGTGATTAAAAAAACATCATAAAGCGAGTTTTGCTGAGGACTGTAAATCTTTCATTGGCTACAATCATGTTGGCTGATGTCCAAACGCAACCATGATAATAATGTATCTTGAGGACATGCTGTCGTACCAAAACGTTTAGGAAGTTTCAGGTAATGATGATGTCATCACTATGCTGTTTCCACATTTAAAGAACGATAACTCCAGAACCTGCCAGGAAAGGACAAAAAATGAATAAACATTTCGAACATGTAATCAAAGAAACCAATACATATGAAATATCACCGAAAAGCCCCTCTCATCTAGTGCCACATATGAACCCTGTCTATGTTCCCGTCTGGTTACTGAGCAATTCTACAACAATTATGAAACAAGTTATTTCAACTTAGACTAATCACACTTGTTGTCCTGGGTGTTAGCTAGCGGAGCATTTTAATGTGTTTGGAAACTGCAGAACTTGGGGGAAACCAACGCGGCTAGTTATGTGACCTCATACCTTTTCACGCATCTGTGGACGGTGAGTTCGTTATCCACTCTGCCACCGGCCAGCTGATAACTCGTGTGGTGACAACAGAAACACAACTCCCTACCGACGAGCACAATAAAAAAAAAACATCGACATTTATACAACACAAACAATTAACATTATCATATGGAAGTTATATCCTTTTACGAAAAACAGTCATTAACAATTATGATATAATGTAAAACTTTAGGTCATCGTTACCAATTCTTTAACACTTTATGACAATATTTTTCAAGTAACCTTCATAACCAGGTCATAAAAAACTACGTTGCATAGTTATATGCTCAACCATTAGAATCATATCGCTAAGCGCTTAGCTTACAGTATCAAATTACATTATCGTAAGAGATTGAAACTCGGCCACAATCGACCATAACTCGGCCGCAACTTTATGATAGGATCGCGTCATCACTTAATGTAGCGTAACCATATCACAGAATTGTCACTTCGTTCAATTTGTCAAATTTTTATCACATTGATTATTGCGCGGTTCATTGAGTTCACTATGGCAACTAGGACTATTGCTCTTCCGTAGAAAAGGGTGGGATATGTGTTTTTATATCCCCCGTGATGATCAACTCTTATATAACAAACATCTCCTCTGTTTAAAGGATGATATGGTAAGTAATAAACAACAACAGGTGTGGTAGAAAAACAAAAAGAATAACAAAAAATATCGGCAATTATTTGAAGTGTTTAATGCTGAATCAGATCTTAAATAAAGTTTACAAATTACATTGAAATAAGTACAACACATATAACAATGAAACATGGTGATGTATGAATAACAGAAAAAGGTAAAAACACCGTGTCATATTTTCCAACTACAAAATGTAAATGGTTATATAACAAAAGAAATGGCTGATATAAAAATACATTAAAACTGAAATTTTGTTTGTAAACATGACTTTAAATTTAAGTGTCAGTCGACGTTTGATTTCACTATTTAATAGACGACAAAAATAGTCATGCTCCTGGTCAAATAAGCAACAAAAGTACACTCCGGGATGTTTATCACAGTTGAAGATGACGTAAATATGTCATATCTTAAATATATTGGACCTCACATTAGATGAAGTAACACGTAAAATGACGTCATCATAGCAAACACTTTCGTTTCTTTCCTGACCAGGCGTCTTTGTTTACTAGAATAGTTCGCTTTCGTAAATATAATGTCCAATGTATACAATGAGTATGGTACAACATAATAGTGAATAAAATAGCATTCACTCTTTTCGATGGTCCATATTTAACGCAGGTTGATAAAATCCCGGATGTTAACCCTTGAATGCATTCACGTCCACAAAGTGAAGAGAGTAATCAGGTAAACCACTAAATACAATATAGGATATGGGACAATATCACAGACCTAGTAGAGGTAGTATAAAAGTCTTTCCCAATAAACTAGCATACATTCTTAATAATAGTAATATAATATTATATCGTGCTCCTTCATATTTTCTGATAAAGAACAAAACATGTTCCTAACATCTGTTGCATCCTTTCTGCGTTTTTTTTGCGTGATGAGTTAAAATGGTCTTTATGCATCTCCGTATTACACAGACTGCCAGATCCCTACATAATCCTTGTGCTTATTGGTCCCCATTGTTTTCGTACAGCAGGTAATCCTTTAAAACAATGAAATTGATAATGAAAACCTGTACAAACTTTATGCATAACATTGATATCTGTTACTAATTGATAATTATTTTATAATAATATCGATCACTGATAATAAAAAACAGTCATTGTTCAGTTATACGTTAATTTAATATCGTCTTTCGACAGGAAATATCGATCGGTATATTCTGTTTTTATATCAATCACCGAAAGGTGCTGAATTATATCAATATCAATTACCAACAGATAATATACATTAATGAATAGTAATCATCGATTGGAAAATACGATATTTTAAAAATCGTCTATTGACAGGCAATATGCAATATTAAAATCGATCATCGATAGGTTATATATCACATTAATATCGATCACCGATAGGAGACATGCTATATTAACGTCCTTTAACGACAAGTTATAACTTGCATAAATATCGTTCAATCGATAAGTCTCAGGTATATTTACACTGTACAACACGTGATTTTTGCCCACGAAAATATCAGAGTATCGATTTACACGATAAAATACACCAACGTCGCTGTATTCCCGTTATACTTCACATTAACCTATGACCTAACAACACTTACGTCACTGTTTATGCTACTGCCTTATCGATTGACATGAAGTTATCCAAAATATACCAGAATAATACTCATAATTTGAAGTACTTGGAAGATCACATGCATTGTGTACAGTGTTTTATTTGTACGACGGAATTTAAAACCCTTCTCCACAAAATATAGGGATAGTTCACTGTAAAGATAAAAGAGTTCCGTGAATAATAAATATTATTCTTTTGTCAGATTTCAGATTGGAATTGCAAGTAACATGCCATATGATAAGCCTACTTACCAGTACGAATGTGGATCCAAAGACAGATAGCTTCTGTTGAACATCCATGTTTGCAGGAACTGACAGAAACAATGTTATGCATTATAAGTAGGTATGGTACGACAGGGTAATTAATATTTCATTGAAAACGACATCAATATCTATGCTTTCATGGAATACGCAAGAGATCTTAATATGGGACGAAACCGGGGTAACCCGAAAACAACAGCGTGGTAGGCTAAGTTACCCCTTACCTTTTCAAGTCTAATTAGAACTTTAAGCGGGCCATTGAAATGAGCGAAACGGATTATTGAGTTAGAAAGGACAATGTCATGAAAGCAACAGATGATTTCCAGAGGGGAAAAAAAAGATAAAAAAATGTCACTCTAAGAAGAAGGCCAGGAGGCCGAAATATTGGAAACTTTGATTGACGTTTGTTCTGTTTAATATAATGAAGGCTTTTTCACAGCTGGCAAAATTAATTCTAACACTTAACCAACGTCTGGTTCAATCATTTGGCTAACTGTGACCTTTGTATATGTCTGTAAGCGGGCCATTGAAATGAGCGAAACGGATTATTGAGTTAGAAAGGACAATGTCATGAAAGCAACAGATGATTTCCAGAGGGAAAAAAAAAGATAAAAAAATGTCACTCTAAGAAGAAGGCCAGGAGGCCGAAATATTGGAAACTTTGAATGACGTTTGTTCTGTTTAATATAATGAAGGCTTTTTCACAGTTGGCAAAATTAATTCTAACACTTAACCAACGTCTGGTTCAATCATTTGGCTAACTGTGACCTTTGTATATGTCTGTACGGTGATGTATGTGTACTTACAATGGCAGCCGAAGGTGTTGGCATGGGTACAGCATGCTCTGCCAGCTCCGTCCCAGATCTTCGTTACCCTCGCATTGGCATCAGATCCCCCAGGATTTGTCAACTGTGTTCGAATATTTAATATTTCTATGATGGTACCAATACAGTTCAAATGGGGAAATAGGTAACATTTTACAGATATGTAACCCTTACAAAATATTTAAAATATGATATTGTGGCATTTTGACTTGCTAATTTGTGACGTCGTTTTAAGATACTGTAGTTGAAACTCATTTGTACTAAGTTGAAAATATTTTTATTCAGTTGCAGCTGTTGTGAGAACGAACTATTTATTCCGAAAAAAAAACATGGTTATATTGCTTATGAAATATTACATTGTGTGAACCTGAGCGAGAATCGACAGTCGTCATTTTGCAAATAGAGTACCAACCGTTCTCAGTTTGGTTGGAATATTTATTGAGATTAAGAAGAAAGCTTATTAGACACTCAAAATGATACAAATTGTAATAAAATGATTAATTTACATCTTGATATTTAGAAATTGAAGGTGCATACCGGATACTCTATATCTCCATAACATCCGGGTCCTTGGCAGATACAACATGGCCCCGTCACTTCAAATACCTGTGTACCGTTACCGTCGAATACGTGGAATTTAGGACTACAGCAGTAAACCCTACAGGGAAATACAAACATACCGGACTGGTAGGTTACACAGTTTAAACATATTGCTATGAATTAAGTACTGAGTGTATGCTAAAATATGATAATAGCTTTATTAATAAAAATGATAATAATTCGAGTTTCTTATATACCGCTTTATCACAAGCTAGTTCGTAGGTCGTCTCAAAGCGGTTCACAAAGTATTATACGTGGTTATAGGACCTTTTCAACCAGCCAATATATTTCTCAACTCACAACAAGATGAGTGAAGTATCTTGCTCACAGATATAACACAGTGCCGTGGCGTGACTCGAACCCGCAACCTTTCGGTCACGAGTCCGGCGTCCTACCACTAGACTACGGTGCCTCCTGAAATATACATCGACTGAAATATACATCGACTGAAATATACATCGACTCAAAAACCTTTGCAGTAACCAATGCTCAGCAAAGATTCCCTTTAATGTATTTCTTTTCCATACAAAAAAGAGTTCCAAATAAAAGAAAATGTCAGCAGCCTTTTTTTGAAAAGTGAAAGTAAACTGAAATATTAGAAATCGTACCTAAATTACCACTATAAAGCACGACATTATGGATCGGGTTAGGTAATGATGAAATTGGTTTCTTTTATTGATCAGGTAGTCCCTATCAAGGCAACTGAATAAGATGCTGATAGCAAAACTTGAGCTACTTCCAAAGTATTGTGCTGGTTTATACAGCTATATGATTTCTACAGACATTCCTGCATAGTTTTTACGGATACACAGTATACTCTCGCATTTTAATTTACAGAACCATATTATAAACATATCACCTTACTGTTATAGAACCATCATATACGTATACTGTAGGTAAATGCACGATGATGCACTTATATACTGTACGTACAAAGTGTATGTGATTTGACTATACGATACAGATATAGTATGTACGTACAAATCGTATGTGATCGGATTATACCATACAGATATTGTATGTACGCACACTTCGTATGCGATCGGATTATACCATACAGATATTGTATGTTCGCACACTTCGTATGTGATCGGATTATACCATACAGGCACACTTTGTATGTGATTGGACTATTACATACATATATTGTATGTAGTAGGACAGAACCATAATTATAAACATATACCCTTAGCATGATTTGAAAATAGGCCTGGGATTCCTTGCAATCACATATATCTTTAAAAAAAAAAAGCAGGTTTCGAAAATAGAGCGGCTTTAAAAAATGTACCTTGGATTCAGTCAATTTGCATTCAAGGGTGGAATAAAAAAAACTCTGCAAATTTCTATTGCTTTTGGTGTAATTTGCGCACCTCCCAATGTCTTCCCTCATTTCAGCACCAAAGCACTGCGCAAATTACACGAATGTTTACGGTAAATGCTTGTGAATATTAATAGCAATCATTCAACTATGACATTGTAGACCCTTTAAAAGGCTTCCAATGAAAGAAAGCTTTGATATAAAGCCGTCACGCCTTACAGTCTAATAAGCTTCAATAACAAGACTGCTTTTAAAAAAGATCGGCTTCGAAAATATATTTGGAATTTCTTAATAAAAAAGAAAATTAGCCGCCGTTTATGTTCGCGATTTTAGGGTATATTCTTTATCGGACTATTATATAGAAACCTATTCACATTATGTAACCGGATCATGATCTGTACTGACATCAGTAATTTTTTTAAACGTCAAGTACCCTTCCCCTGGATAATTCTGATGGAGTTTTTAGCAAAAAAGTCAATGCAAAATTCAGTAACCGAATCATAATTTACACAAATGCGTTTTCTTTATTTGAGCCTTTATGTACACGCATACTCACATTTGTCGAACATGTGCCAAAGTTCGACCAACGGGTTGATCGACCCACATTTCCATAGCACAACAGTCTGCACTGGCACAACAACTACCTCCTGCACAGCATTTAAAATTCTTCTTGATTTGAGCAATCTCCTTCAAAAATATCAAAATGCTAAATGTAATATTTTACAACAATTATGAAACAAGTTTTATCAACTTCTATAAACTTTTATTTCTTGTTGGCTTGGATGTAAGCCAGCAGAAGGTCTAAATGTGGGAGGTAGCGGAGTACCTTGAGAAAACTTACGTCTTCAGAAGGAAGAACGTACGGACATAACCGAAATGGTTAAAATATAAACGACTAAAAACATATATCGAATTTGAATTCTTTGGTGTCAGCAAGGTAAAGGTAAAGCAGCAAAAACCCGTAAATACATTTGATCGCCATCCAGTTGTCACAAACAAACAGTAGTTTACAGCAGAGTACATGCAGTTAATATTGAATATAATAATCACTCCTATTTATGATGACAGAATGTATCGATTCACCATAAGGACAAAAGTTCGTAACATAATTACAATAACTACCTTTCAACTGTTTGTGTAGCTGTCAAATGTTTCTTTTAAACAATTGGCCTCTAGCATTACAGATAACCCCTAGAAGGACCCGTACCATCCTCTATACTCCAGTGGTTATGCTCATTTTCGCTCTCAGCACCCGTGGAATATGTCCTAGCAAAGTGGAAGGCTCAGATTGCACCACCTTGTGGATAAGACGAGAAGACATGTTTGATCCATTGATGGACATCCAAAAAATCTGTCGGTCGCGTAACGATAAAATTGACTGGCTTTGAAGTAGGGTGTTGCCCCTCTGTAAGCTTCAAAAGACATATATCAGCCGAGTGATTGGTCATGTCTTTTTATCTGAGACAAACCAAAAAGCCAGCCTCGTACCTTCAATTGTGCTATTCCACGGGTGCAGAGAGCGTATGTAAGCGTAACTCCTGGAGTATTGACGATGAAGGGCAAAACAGATGTATGATGTAGTGTAATTCATTCTCGACCTTATGTAATCACCTGTGTGTGGATTACTTGCATCTTATAAACATTCTACCTTAGCGTTTTTAATGTACGCTATTGTTATTGGTCATTAGCAGTGTCTAGTGTTAAAGTCGTACAGAGTGATGTTAGCCATTTATGCATTACAATGTAAGAGAAATAGTTTTGAAAAATTACATCATTAATTATTTCTTATCTAACGATGTTAGACTCTTGGGTAAAACAATGTGCTTTTTTATTTGCAGGGAGACTGAAGTAATCACTCAATTGTATTGGTTTTTAATTTCATTGATTTCATGGGAAGTCTTCATCTACGAATTCATGGGTCCACTAAGTAATTACAAGTTTCATATAAAGTAATTCTCCGTATGAGAAGGTACTCGTAATCCACGAATTCATGTACCTACAAAATGATGTTTTGTCGGGTAACCACGAAAATTGGGGGCCCGGGAAAATATATGATTTCACAGTATGTTTCAAAAACAGCGATTTTAATTCAACCTTTTATAGGTTGATCCTTATGTCCCTTCTTAGAAGGTAGTTGGTTGACATATCACATATAAATATGTAAGTTATTAGTTTAAAAAATGATGTCCTACCTGACCATTCACATCCGTGACGTGCAGAACAAGTCCCCTTTGAACAGGTAAGAAGCACAACCGCTCGCACGTGTCAGACTCTGTAACGATTACAATGGATAACATATAGAACCAACCCGTGTTGACTCAGCCACCACTAATCCAGCTTTTTCTAGTTCAAGTAAGTGTTGTTGTTTTTGTCAAAACAGTACAATGTAAAATAGGATATTTGACGTTGCTATGATTGAGCAACATTTCAAAATATGCCTAGTAATAATATCGCGCGTTTTATTGGCGATAAATGAATTGTATATCAATTTTTTCACTTAATGGTTGTGATATGATTAACAAAGTCGTATTAATGAACTTATTAATTAATCCATTTCTTTCATAGATAACTTGAAATAGGAACACGTACTTTATATTTACTTATGAATATGACTTACTGGTGTTGTGACTTCTGTAATATACTATTTTATATCCCACTCCATATACCACTTACTGTGGATGTAATTTACTAATGTTGTAACTTCTGTAATATACTATTTTATATATCAATATATATGGATGAATGTACTAATATTGTGACTACTGTAATATACCTTTTTATATATCAATGTATATGGATGTTACTTTCTTATGTTGTGACTACTGTAATATACCATTTTATATATCAATGTATACGGACATAACTTGCTTATGTCGTGAATAATGAAATATATCACTTCATATACCATTTCAAAGGAATGTGACTTACTAATTGTGTGACTACTGTAATATATCATTTTTCTATACCACTTGAAATGAATGTGACTTACTAATTTTGTGACTACTGTAATATACCATTTTCTATACCACTTGAAATGAATGTGACATACTTATTTTGTGACTACTGTAATATACCATTTTCTATACCAATGTGACTTATGACTTACTAATTTTGTGACTACTGTAATATACCATTTTCTATATCCCTTGGTACCAATGTGACTTACATATAATGTACTAATGGTGTGACTACTGTTCCAATGTGACTAACATATAATGTACTAATAGTGTGACTACTGTACCATCTGTGACTAACATATAATGTACTTATGGTGTGACTACTGTAGCAATGTGACTTACAAATAATGTACGAATGGTGTGAGTACTGTACCAATGTGACTTATATATAATGTACTAATAGTGTGACTACTGTACCTTCTGTGACTAACATATAATGTACTTATGGTGTGACTACTGTACCAATGTGACTTACATTTAATGTACTAATGGTGTGACTACTGTACCAATGTGACTTATATATAATGTCCTAATGGTGTGACTACTGTACCAATGTGACTTACAAATAATGTACGAATGGTGTGAGTACTGTACCAATGTGACTTATATATAATGTACTAATGGTGTGACTACTGTACCAATGTGACTTACATATAATGTACTAATGGTATGACTACTGTTCCAATGTGACTTACATATAATGTACTAATGGTGTGACTACTGTATCAATGTGACTTACATATAATGTACTAATGGTATGACTACTGTTCCAATGTGACTTACATATAATGTACTAATGGTGTGAGTACTGTACCAATGTGACTTACATATAATGTACTAAAGGTGTGACTACTGTTACTTCTGTGACGTACATATAATGTACTAATGGTGTGACTACTGTATCAATGTGACTTACATATAATGTACTAATGGTATGACTACTGTTCCAATGTGACTTACATATAATGTACTAATGGTGTGAGTACTGTACCAATGTGACTTACATATAATGTACTAAAGGTGTGACTACTGTACCTTCTGTGACGTACATATAATGTACTAATGGTGTGACTACTGTATCAATGTGACTTACATATAATGTACTAATGGTATGACTACTGTTCCAATGTGACTTACATATAATGTACTAATGGTGTGAGTACTGTACCAATGTGACTTATATATAATGTACTAATGGTGTGACTTCTGTACCAATGTGGCTTACATATAATGTACTAATGGTGTGACTACTGTACCAATGTGACTTAAATATAGTGTCCTTATGGTGTGACTACTGTACCATTGTGACTTATATATAATGTACTAATAGTGTGACTACTGTACCTTCTGTGACGTACATAAACACCTGGTCGTTCCTATCACACACTTCGTATCTGTTTTTTACTTCCCATGGCGTAAACACTGAAATATACAACACGTATATGTTTTTTACTTCCCATGGCGTAAACACTCAAATATACAACACGTATATGTTTTTTACTTCCCATGGCGTAAACACTGAAATATACAACACGTATATGTTTGTAAGCCTCTCAAAATTGAAACCAAAGTTGAGAGATAATACATGCATTTGAAACGATGGTATTTTCAAAATTGTCCAAACTGTTTACTTTCGCATTTGCATTCAAAAATGGTTATTTTCAAATACTATTCGCAAACTACACTCACATTTTGTCACATAGTATTCAAAAGTTTTGTTTCGAATTATACGTGTTACCAAATGGTTCAGTAAATTAATTTATGTACGAGTTAATTGAACTTATAATGCTACATGCATTTAGATGATACCAGTACATCATTTATCTTTTGATCTAATTTTCGTTGCAAGAGAAACCGAGAACAATTTCGTTTTCTTTATGATGTTTTATTCTTCCTTACGCTTTATATATATTATATCTGTATGTTGTTTTACATAAATTCGTAAATTTATATTGCAGTTATCTCCCTTACAATGTATTGGATTTGAACAACATCATCGATAATATACAGTTATTGTTAAGTAAGAAAGGCCTGATGTGATTAACATATCAATGTTGTAATCGTGATTAGCCTTACAAGGGGTGATGTTTTTTGGTTGTCTAACCCAAGGCTCTGCCGAGGGTTACAACCAAATAAATCAACCCGAGAGTTGAAGATTTCTCTGTTACACCCTCAAGATAGGGGATAATTATTTTTCTCCCATCCTATTATTTTAGGCACAGCTCCACCGACAGAAACACATATGGGGTATGCATATCGTCATTCACTTTTGATGACGTAACAATTACCGATGACGCGTTTTAATGACGTCACAATTGAACACGTGCTAATCTGCACGGGGCTATCTCCCCCATAGCAAAGGGGGTGACAAGCCGGCTAAAACGGGAGACACACCTGTGAAGGGTGGCAGAATAGTGAATTAACAAGAGAAACATAGGGTTTCTAGATATACTATCTGAACGTTGTGAGAGAAATTGGTCCCCAAACATGTGATGGTTGATTATTATGTGTATATTACTTTTGTAAGTAACTTTTTAAAATGTAAACTTCTTGCCATAATTCAATTTTAAATTAACTCGAGTTAGATAAACATGAAAACCAAGTACACTCCTGTGGAAACCACCATGTATCTCACGGCGTGCTAAATTAAGAGGCGACTTATATACATGGGGTCCTTTTTCTTTTGTGTCGTCTGCTCATAGATTATTGTGGGGGGAAATGGATAAAGATTTGCTAACCCAGATTTTGACATTTTGACCTTTCACTTCTCTTTCCTTTGGAATTCGAAAAATGTATGATTTTTCAGATTTAACCTTTGTGTTATCCAACTGTTTAATATTGTTGTTTCATGGTGTTCTACAAATATCCTAGGTACATTTACATGTTATTTAATCCACCATATGAACCAAAATGAAAGAAACTCTAGGTACTGGCGTAATATTTTCATGGTCCATTTATACTTACATTCAGCTAAATCAACTTTCTGCCGAATCTTTATGAAATCCAAATTAGCCAGAAACGCCAAAGCATTAGACTGTTGAACGGCACCTGAAATGATAAGTGTTAAAACCATTAAAACATTAATGCTCATGGATAAAAAAAATCACCTTTATTTTAGGATTGTGTTCTAAACTACCGGAAAAGTTCGCACTCCCGCCGTCCATCCATAATTCTATTTTGTTCGGGACAAACAATGTATATTATCAACAATACGCCATCACTTACAATATTTCACACTAGTTTGGGTATTACATGGTCTATCCTCTATATCGAGGGATTACGCTCGGTTTCGCTCTCTCCACGCCTGGATTATGTCATCGCAAAATCGAAGGCTCAGAATCTGTCGGTTACGTCACGGTAAAATTGACTGGCTCTGATGCCAGGTGTCGCTCCTCTGTAACCTTTCAATGACAGGCATCAACCTAGCGATTGGTTAGGTTTGTTTAACTGATACCAATCATACAGCTATTCGCGTGCCTTCGATTTTGCTTTAACATATTCCAGGGGTGCAGAAAGCGAATGTGAGCGTACAGAGTGACAAAAATAGGGTATGGTAGGATAGTCTTTTACCGAAAAATCTATATTAACCCCTAACACTAGAATTCCTTAAAACACCCTAGGTTAGATATAAATATATATTCTGTAATAAATTATTCGGTCTCTATTATTTATCCTTAAATGAAAATATTCTTTATTTATCACCAGAACGATAAGGGTGCCTTTGTTAGAAATAGTCATCTTTTCTCTTAGAAACTGCTTATATTCCTACTCATTTAGGCATTAAGAGTAGATAACGTAATTTATCTTCCTACGACTTTGTTTTCAAATAAAAATGTATCCATACCAGGTCATTTTGAAAATTGATCAATTGAAAGGCTAATGAAAAATGTATATATCAACAGATAGCTCGGCATAATTTAAAGAAATCAGAATAAAATTATACTTATAAATCCGGTTTGATTACAAGATGTGTGTTTGATTAAATATAAAGTTTCCTGGAATCAGTGACATTTTATCTTATCTTACTGTGGAATTAAATGTTAACAGCAAATTGACCATTAGCGTAGCTTGAGCAGTTAGGTGCTGTTTAACTGTTTAGAAGAAACCTTACAAAGTCTTTAGATGTGAAGATTCCATCTTAGCCTAGCTACAGAATTATCTTAACATTTTCCATGTAAACGTAATCGTCAATCCCACGGCGAAACATCTCGGATACACATCCAGAGGGTTTCATAGAGTTACATAATGAGTAAATATTGACATCAAGGATTTAGGCTCCGATCAGCTTATTATCCGTTATTCCCTCTTAAGTGTTTGTATAACATGTTATCTCTGTCAACACAATCTTTAATCAAAAGTTAACTGTGTACACCTGTCAACGACGTCAGTATGGTATTCAAATCAAGAACGCTTATGTGCAAATATTGTTACCATACAGACATCCAATCACTTTCATGCATCACGTTTGCCCAGGTGAGGAAGGCAATGGCTATTTAAATCACGTATGCTTATGTGTAAATATTGTTACCATTCCATAACCTTCCCCTTCACAGATAACGTTCGTTCAGGTGAGGAAGGCAATGGGTTATGTCCAAAAGTTCTTATAAATGGTAGTTGTTATTCCCTGATCAACATTCAGCATTCAGACGAATGACAACAACTGGTTCACCCGTTATCAGTATGATGTAACCGAGCAGTATGCTATGCTGGATGACTTCGGCATGGCATTTCAGTGAGATAGCACTATAAAGTCGGCATCAGATCCGCTTTATCACAAAGAGGCAACTACACTAGCATACCCTGATTCATACACACATGAATGACCTAAGCTATTAATGGGATGGTCAACCTTATGAAATCAAACCAATCATACATACCAGTTGGCTGTTTCAAAACAATACCCTCCATTTCCATTGTTTGTTAGAAGTTTATCTGAAAAATAAAAACGGAGTCGAAAATTAATACTGGATATAAAGTATAAATCTACATTTGACTATCGTACAGTATAAAGAATTAGGTCTGGATACTATAATTGGAAGCAAAAGCGTATTGCAATGTTGCGAGACGTATCGCAGTGTATTTTCAAGAATTAAAAGCCTCTGATGACGTATTTTTTCTATTTTGATAAATTATTTATTCTGTTTATGTGTTTAAGCTTTCATATCCCGAAAAAAAATATGTCTATTAATATCAGACAAGCAAAACTTAAAAAGGATATCACAGTCATGTACGGATACGTGACTCCAGTTCGGAGTAGGCCTAAACTTGTTTAGGCATCTGAAGAATTGTGATGACGTAGAGTAAAACGAAAATATCCACTTCACGTTAACAAACAAGGTCAAAACCTCAATTCAAGTCAGCAGCGGCAGTCTATGTGACTGAACTTAAATGAAAGGAACTGTGAACCCAACAAATGAACTCGGTGAGCCGAGACCAGGGCCGCTTTCGTTATTTATAATCCAAACGGCTTGACCAGGGCTGTTCGTTTAAGAAATAAGGTCGGACCTAGTAATCTGATGCTACTTTCCGGCAAGCCTTGACAAAGCCTTGCATAGATATTTGTAGGTCAGAAAGGATTTATTCCCAAAAACGTTTAATTTGAAAAAAAAGACAATCACATTTTTCAGCAGATAGGTAACCATTTCTACACCTTAACGAGATGTAGCTTTGATAAATACTGGATGTACTATAACAACACTTTTGAGGGGTATTGTTATACAATTTGAAAAGTAAAAGTTCTGGAGATGTTGTATGGTCCAAATATAAATTTATTAAAATAACTTTCTCTAGGTCGGTGGGTGATTTCTGGAGTATCCAAAAACACACCCGTACAGTCCGATGCCTAGTTCCTAACTGATTACCAAACATGTAGAACCGTGATACATTGACAATTAACACAATAAAGTTAATTTGATCGACAGCTGTCACTTATCTCTCTATTCTGACTGGTGAGTACCCGAACAGGTAAGGCAATTAGCCTGTCCTTTGTCCGAGACTTA